ACCCACGCACACGCCCACACACACACACCCACACTCCTTCCTCCCCCATAACCTAATCCCCATTCTCCTGTCCCACCCATTCTCCTGTCCCTTCTTCAGAACAGACTGTCCCTTTAAGCCACCAGGACCTTGATCACAGACAGCTGTTTCCTTCAAGGATGACTCCCTTACCCTGTTCTTCAGTTAATTGTTTAGAATCTCAGCTGAGCCTGTCATGCTGGTCAGAGCCCCTGTCACTTACCCCTCTTCTAACACAATAAAGCCTACTATACCAGGCTGGGTGCTCACAAGTCAAAACAAATTATAATGACTTCGACCAAAACCCAAATGATCCTAGCTGGCCCACTTTCAAGGAAGAGAGTGAGAAATATTCACAATTAGAGAGAAATTCCTACTCCTTTGATATTTGTTCAGCCATTTTCAGACATCTAATGTGCACAAAACACAAGTATTAGCAATACTTAACTTACTGTTAATAAATAATAAAATAAAAAATAATAAATAAAATAAAATAATAATAATAATAATAATAATAATAATACTTATTAAGGGTTCCAATTGGCTATGGTTTCTTCTTTAAGGAGAGAGGAAGAGAAAAGCAAGGGCTTTATTTCCAGGTCTGCTGATTCAGTTCTGCTCTTTTACTAAATGATGCTAAACGGGTAGAATGGAAGGTTGAGCCCCATGAGGTCAAGTGCATGGAGGGCCACGACGATCTTCTAGAGGGACTGGAGGGAGTTGGACTTCAGTGTGAGGTAGCCAGTGGGGAATGCTAGGCACAGGGCACACCTGCAAACTAAAAATATGGTGTCCGATATCGCATTTAAAATCCTTTGCACCGTGATATAAAATTCTCATGTCTGTCCATCTGCAGGGATGTCTTACGCATGCACAGGTGCTTCATTTGGATAAACCTGGGTGGGGTGGGGTTCGAGGACAACGCAGAGCAAAGAAAACACAGGGGAGCTCCTTTCAGGAAGGGACTTGGAGTGAGAAGGGGCCACCAGACAGAACTTCCTGAGAGAGACCCACCATCCCATGGAGGGAACTTCACAGGAAGTCACGTCACTTATATCCAAATACTCCCGGAGAGTTCAGATTTCCCAGACTCCTGAGCTGCCAACCCACAAAGTAGACTAAGGTCTCATGGTGGACAGATGACAGACCCACGTCTTGGTGCTTCTCCACTGACTCCGAACACACTGCTTACAGTGCAGAAACAGCTCACACTTGCTAAATACACGGACCAATGGACTGCACACAAAAAATTGCAAACTCCATCCTACAGTCTCCATCATCCTGTGTGCTCTGGGCTTCCTTTCCCGAACCTCTCTGGCTTACTTCCTTTCTCCCCTCAGACACGCTGTGCTCACTGTGCTGGCTTTCACCCCAGGACCATGGCACTTACCATTCCTCTGGCTGCAAACACCCCACCCCCAGCTCTTTGCCTCACTGCCTCTCCCTTGTATTCTCCTCAGGTCTCCCCTGGCGTCTAGCTGTGGATCTGTATTTCCGCTTGCTCAAGTCTTGCAGGCCTCACAACAGGCCTACCTGACGACTGTTAAACCCATCGCCACATAACTCTCATCAAAGCACTTTGCACAACTGTGCTACATTGGTGGCAAGCACACATGCGTGTTAAACTGGCAGCTCCCCCAGCCTGTCTTTCATAGCTGTAAAATAAAATACAGCCACATACATACCTTTTGTGGTCTTTTGTGTTGCCCCAAACGTTCAATAGAATGTTTGGTACCTCAGAGAGAACACACATTTACCGGATAGATGGAAGAATGGATAGGTGGATAGATGAGGAAGGGGTGTGAAGGAAGGAAGGAGGTCGGGGTGGACAAGAGGATGGGTATATAGAAGGATGGATGGATGGATGGATGGATGGATGGATGGATGGATTGGTGTGTGGTAAAAGGACAGATAGAGAAATGGATAGATGGGAAAGGGATGAAGGAGGGATGGGTGAACGGGTAGGTAGATGGAAAATGGGTGAAGGGATGGGAGGAGAGAGAGAGATGCAGGGGGAGGCAGAAAATGAGGAAAGGGATGGAAGGGATCATCCTTGTAAACTAAGCAAAGGTCACAATCTCAAGA